GGATTGTCTATAGCGTATATGAAGTATGTGCATTCTAATGTAATAAATTCTTGCTGTTGTAGTTGTTTTTCCATTTGTCAAGAGAGCGTGTCTTTTCTGAAGACCGGGCTCGGTTTTATGGAGCTGAGATTGTATCAGCACTGGATTACCTGCATTCAGAGAAGAATGTGGTTTATAGAGATTTAAAGGTACTTAGAAGACTGTTCATTTCATAGGCTATTAAAAATGGGTTTGGACTGTTACAGTTCTTAAAGTCACAGAAGCTGATTACACTTAAATACAATAAATCTATCCACCAAACTTTGTTATAACAGAAATATTACAGCTATATTATTTTGGCCATGATTGTTATAAGATCTCAAACTAAGCACTTGAATACTCTACTGCTACAGAAAGCGAATTTTTGGGATTGATTCTCCCCAAGTGTATGGAACCAGTGCCTTGGTAGAATACGAAGGGGCACTCTGTTATTGGGGATGCATCTTCACATGGATATGAAATTAAAGAATTGACCACTTTATTATGAAAAAGACCCTGGTAGTTCTTCTAAGCGATGGAGGGTATTTGTGGTGTCTTGGTCAATGTACACTCTATGTACAAATTCAGACTGTGTGAACATTCTCCTCCCTTGTCCTATTTTTCACTTGCAGTTAAAACTGACTACGTTTTCCTTGGCTTTTCTATTTGAGGGGGAAAAATGAATCATACAAACTTTTGTGTTCTTTCTGATTAAGAATGATGGCTGCATTCCCTCACCAGAAGTGTATGAGAAGTGCTATTACTATTCTTTCAGTCCACAGTTCATTTTAGGAGCCATCTAGATGAAAGGCGCTGTGTATATAGGGATGTGGATAAACTGGAGAGAGTTCAGAAAAGAGCCACAAGAATAATTCAAGGTTTAGAAAACGTGCCATATAGCGAAAGACTCAGGGAGCTCAATCTAGTTAATTTACCAAAGAGAAGATTAAGGTGTGACTCGATTACAGTCTGTAAGTGTCTACACAGTGAACAAATATTTAATAATGGGCTCTTCAGTCCAGCAGAGAAAGATATAACAAAATCCAGTGGCTGTAAATTGAAGCTAAACAAATTCTGTCTGGAAATAAGATGTAAATTTTTAACAGTAAGTGTTATTAACCATTGGAGAAACTCACCAAGGGTCATGATGGATTCTCCATCACTGACAATTTTTAAATCAAGATTGGATGTTTTTTTCTAAAAGATCTGGTCTACACATTATTTTGGGGAAGTTCTCTGTCCTGTGTTATATAGGTAGTCAGACTAGATGATCACAATGGTCCCTTTTGGCCTTGGAATCTATGAATATTGAAGCTGTTGTGAAATTCAGTAGGAGTTAAGCGCCTCTCTCTCTGAGGCTCCTTTGAAAACCCCACCCTATAGCATAAGTACCGTCAGCATATAGAGCTTTATTTTCATGAGCTATGGGTAGTGCCATCAGAAATGGATAGTGCCAGCATTCTCTCAGTTTTTATATAATTATCAAATTCTGAGTAAATTTACAGCATATTTACCATGTACAGTGTGCTATTGTAAATTGATCCCTTAGCTTTAAATTGATTCATTGTTTTTGTCACTGCTGCAAGCCTCTGTCAGTATTGAAATGGCCTATGAAAGATGCTCTAAGTAAAAGCAGGGGCAAAGGAGTTTCTTTGTTTTTAAATTTGTGCTTTTGCTGACTGTAACATTTAAGGAGCTTAGATGTAGTATGACTGTTTTCTGTATTCTCACTATATGTATGTCAACTGCCCAATGATCTCAAGTTACTTTTCTGAAGTTATCCCTAAGGGAAATGATGTAAATGTATATTTACATTATATGTGCTTTGGTAGCTAGTATAATTCTTATCCCAGGGTGAACAGGGCTGAAAAGAATAACCTGCAGAAATCCAAGTATTTTACAAACTCACTCAAGTCTGTGGATTGTGTATCTAATGACCATTTTAATTTGGATTTTTATCTAAGTTGGAAAATCTTATGCTGGATAAAGATGGACACATAAAAATAACAGACTTTGGGCTATGCAAAGAAGGTATCAAGGATGGAGCAACAATGAAGACTTTCTGTGGCACTCCAGAATATCTTGCACCAGAGGTACCTTTTATTACAGCTATTGTACCTAACTGTATTCTTAAATAAATGCCATTCTTGAGATAGCAGAATTGTTATTTAAATATTTCCTGTACTAACTGCACTGTTTATTTGTAAAAATGTGTATATTTTATTTTATGATATAGATAAAAACCTTTTTATTCATTGTTCTGCAAAATTTCATTAGTATAGAGAAATGTTAAATGTTTTCACATAGGTTATTTTCTTCTGTCTGTGCGTCTTTAAGAAGAGAAAAGTACAGTTCACTTCAGGGAGTATATAAAAAGTTATAATTATATAGCAGGATATATTTTATATTAAATTTTTAAAATTAAATAGCTATAGAAAATATTTTGAATATATTTCAAATCCTTTTAAAAATTAAATGAGTAACTTTTGTGATGGATGTGGAACTGCTCCATATAATAATTTATGAATGCTGTATGTTGATCTGATTATTGGGATGCTCCCTGTATGAATCTATTGGTCTAGTTTAATAGGGGTCTGTAAGAAAGAACAAGCAGGCTGGGGAATAGCATGGCTCAAGACAAGCCACTTCTCAGCAAACCTTTGAGAGACATTTAGAGACAAAGCCAGGACAGGAATGGTCTTGGGAAGCAGAAGATCAAAAGAACTGTGGCAGGATTGAAAAGGAAGACTTGAGGAATGCGGGGAGTGGTGGTTAGGAGGAAGTTGGTCCAGGGGAACCAGATTGAGGGATTGGCATCCAAAGGGGGTATCTGAAGAAGTTACCCTCTTAGGTTATCATCAGAGGATGGTAAGGCTTTAGGTAAGATAGACTGATGTTCTAAAATCTGTTCTTCAAGTGATGTCCCTGTGGGTGCTCCACTTCAGGTGATTGTACGCCCCTGTGCCTCTCGTCGGAGAACTTTTACAGCAGTACCCAGTAGGGCTGCACATGTGCTCTCTTTGTATTGTGCTTGTAGCGGCAGTTAACTAGCTGCCAACCCTCTGTCAGTTCCTTCTCAATCACCCTTGATCCAAGTCAGAGCTTCGGCAGTGCCTCTGTACGACTTACCTTTAAATTTAGGATTAGCTGTATAGTGTAGTAGATTGAGTAGTTACGTAAAATTTGTTTCCTATCCCTTTTCTTTTTCTTTTTTCTCCCCATTTAAAAAAAAAATTTTTTTTTCTTTGTTTTCATTCACTCCTCTCGGGGATAATTTTATCTGTGAATGCCTGGGTCTCTGGGCTTTCAACGTTGCCTCTCCTGGCAATTCCAGTCTCAGATGGACATTCCTAGCGTGTCTGCTGCTTGGGGGAAACGCATGTACCTCAGAAGTGCTTTCGTTGCCAAAGCAAGGAGCTTAAACTCATCTTCATGGAGAAATCTCTCTGCCCAGCCTCTGACCTGGGATCACAAACTCCTCCCGATCACCGGTTGCATACCTCGGCTTTGACAGACTTCCCTCACTGATTCTGCACAGGAAGGACCTGTCTCTCAGAAAAAAAGACGAAGAAGAGAGCTACCACTTCTCCTATGAAAGGAGTCTTGAAAAAGAAGCGTTCACCAACTCTCCCTATCATCAGTACAAACCACGCCACGGCTAAGTACCTACTAGTACCACTAAGGCCAAAGACCCTAAGTGGGCAGGCTCTCAGAAGGACTGCAGAGACAAGACCACCCCTTCTACCATGACACCGACTGCAGCAATTAAACACTCTGTATTGAGCACCTGTGCAGTGCTTCAGCTTATGGCGCCATCTCCTGGCCCTCTGGCGCATGGTGTAGAGACAGCGGTACTAAAGTCTACTTTACCCCCTTCGGTACGGACATAATCAGCACCGATTCTCCTGGTGCCGCAATACCTCCTGGTACCACAACAATTCCCAGTACTGCAACAATTACAGATTCCATCTTTGGTACTGAGATCTCTTGGAATGCACCAATTTTTCTGACATAAGGACTTAGTAGTTGCTGCGGCACCAGAATCACCTCTTTTCAGTACTGATACAGCGTCGGTACATTCGGCACCATTATACAGACAGACAAACAGATCTGCCTCTCCTTTTTCCAGCGAGGAGGCCGATGATGAGGAGGGAGATGTTTGTTCCTCACACCACTCTTCACCCATCCAGAGAATCAACAGACCAGATCTATAGGAACAGCCAGGACACCGCTCCAGAGCTGGCACCCAGGGGTGGTATGGACATTCATGGATGCCACCACGAGTGTCATTCCTGCCATACTGGGACCCGTAGGGAACATTATTCCAAGCTTCCCAGTAACTCCAGGGAAAGACAGAGATGCTCCCCATCAGCATCAGAGGAGGGGCTCTGTGAGCTCCCTGAGGAGACTCTTGATGAAACAGGAGGCTCTAGATCAGGAGGCCACTTCTGCAACTAACACCTCCTCCTCCTCCTCCTCCTCCTCCTCCTCCTCTCCAGATGAAACCATCATGCTTCTGCCACCTACAGTAGGAGACAATTTTAAGCAAGTTCAGGAGCTGTTTAAAAGAATTGCAGACACGCTCCAAATCCCCCTGGAAGAGGTTGTTGATTCCCAACACAAGTTGGTGGACATATTACACACATCAGCCTCCTATAAAATAGCCCTTCCTATAATGAGGCACTCATGCATCCTGCCAAGACTATCTGGCAGACACCCACAGCAATCCCCCCCACTACTTGTAAGAGGGTGGATAAGAAGTGTTGTGTCCCATTGAAGGACCTAGAGTTTCTATTTTCACACCCCCAGCCAAACTCATAGAAGCTGTCAACGAGCAGGGCAGGCAACACCATTCGAGGACCACCCCATATGATAGAGTGGAAAAGATGGGATCTTTTTGATCACAACACCTATTCATCAGCAACATTATAGTTCAGAATAGCCAGCTATGAAGCCATGATGGCGAAATACAATCACACAAATTACTCAAAACTGTTTGAATTTATTGACATTATCCCTGAAGACAAAAAGGAGCAATTTAGGTCAGTCATTTCTGAAGGCCATCTCCTGGCAAGAACAGATCTTCAGGCATCCTTAGACTCAGCAAACACAGTGGCAAGATCCATTGCAACTGCCATAGTAATGCAATGTGCCTCTTGGCTCCACCTGTCTGGATTCCCAAAGGAGCTGCAATCCACCAGAGAGGATCTTCCCTTTGAAGGTCAAAATTATTTGCAGGTAAGACTGACGAGTCCCTCCATGCATTGAAAGACTCTAAAGCGACTCTTTGGTCTTTAGGCATCTACACACCTGCACAAAAACGAAAACAGGTCATATATTACCCATCAGAACACTCCAGACCAGTGCCTTACACACAACCGCAGACGTAATATGGCGCCCAGAGGTAGAGACAAAGACCCACAAGACGTAGGCCACTCCCATCTCAATCTCCTACATCATAACAACCTGAACTGAAATATCAAATTTGATGGTTTGGTTGAGGGTCCGAGAGACCTCTCCCAATTCCAGTTGCTGAAACCTCTTTCTACCAACATGGCAAATTATTACTTCAGACAAATGGGTGCTGGAAATTATCACCACCAGTTAGTCCATCCAGTTCACCTCTATTCCCCCCACCTACCCTCACGAACATCTTCTGAGACAAGAAGTAGACCATCTCCTGCACTTGGGTGCAGTAGAACCAGTATCGGTACAACACAGAGGGAAGGGCTTTTATTCCCATATTTCTTAATCCAGGGTTTGGAGGCCCCTTTTTGGTCTGAGAAACCTAAACAAATTTGTCAAAACACTTTTGTCAGGATGGTTACTTTAGCAACAGTAATCCCATGAGAGGACTGGTTTTCGGCCCTTGACCTGCAAGACTCATACTTTCATGTCGCCAGACATCCATCACACAGGCGGTTCCTCCAATTTGTTTTGGGGCAAGATCACTATCAGTACAAGATACTGCTCTTTGGCCTCTCCATGGCCCCTCAAGTTTTTTCCAAAGTTCTAGCAGTGGTAGCGGCCCATCTATGCAAGCAAAGGGTCATGATGTACCCATGTTTAGACAACAGTCTACTCAAAGCCCCCACTTGGGAAGAAGCCATCAAAGCCACACAAAACTCAGTTTTACAAAACTCAGTCTCCAAATAAACATTCAAAAGCCAACAGTGACACCAGTACAAGAACTAGAATTCACTGGGGCTCACCTAAACTCGTTGGAGGCGAAAGCTTCACTACCGCTGCACAGATTTGTCACATTAGTGAATCTGATCAACACTACAGTCAACAGTCCACAAACATCTTCTAGGACTTGCCTCAAACTACTAGGCCACATGGTGGCAACCACCTCCATCGTAAAACATACCAGATTACACATGGGCTACCTACAAGGGTGGCACAGGACAGTGTATATCCCCCACAAACACAGTCCGAGCAAGCCTCTCAACATACCACAGAAGGTCATGAACTCGCTAGAGTGGTGGTCCCATTCACACAACGTGTGTGCAGGGGTCCCCTTTCTACAGATTCCCCCACAATGATAATCACAATGGATGTCTCCCTAGTGGGCTGGGAGGTCCATCTAAACAACCTGACAGTACAGCACAGGTGGTCTTCTTCGGAATCAGCACTGCACATAAACGTTCTGGAACTGCAAGCAGTTCGCAACCCATGAACCCACTTTCTGCCTATGATCAAAAACAAAACCATACAGATCCCGATGGACAACGTTGCTTGCATGTTCTATATAAACAAACATGGAGGAGCAAGGTCACGCTCCCTCTGCGCCAAGGCTTTAAGACTGTGGAACTGGTGCATCTATCATAACATCACCATGTCAGCCTCCTATCTTCTGGGACGTCACAACACCACAGCAGACATGTTAAGCAGAAAGTTCTCCTACAATCATGAGTGGGAAATAAATACCTCGGTGATACAGCATGTATTCCAGCAATGGGGTTTCCCCCCCCCAGAGATCTACTTGCCATGAGTCAGAACAGCACATGCCCATCATTTTGCTCCAAAGTGGGGTTGGGGCCAGGATCCATAGACAATGCCTTCCTCCTCAGATGGGCTGCACCTCGCTTTTATGCTTTCTCTCTTACCCTGTAGTTGTCTAGGGTCAGATAAAAGATCAAGACTGACCTATCCAGGGTCATCTTGATAGCTGTCACATGGCCCAGACAAATTTGATTTCCATACTTGCAGCAGATGTCTGCATGTTCACTGCGAGTTCTCCCACTTCTTCCACATCTCCTGTCACAAGATGCAGGTCAGATCTTGTACCCGAACCTGGAGATACTCCACCTGAGAGCATGGCTCCTCCATGGTTTCAAAGCAAGGAGATGACCTGCTCAGAAAGGGTGAAGGATACCTTGCTAGGCAGCAGAGATGGTTGATTACATACTCAGCCTATCTCCACAAATGGAAGAGATTCCACACAGGTGCCAGAACAAACAAATCAGAGCTACCACCTCTGCTCTACCACTAATCCTGGACTATATACTTCAATAAAAAAACCTGGGTCTTTCACTGAGCTCATTCAGAGTTTACCTCGCACCTGTCACAATGTTCCACTCTAAAGTGGATGAGGTTTTTTCAGTCTTTGCCCATCCAACTACAAAACAATTCCTACAAGGTTTCTGGAACCTCTGTCCTGAACTCTGAGTCCCAATGCCTCCATAGCATCTTAATTTAGTACTTCATTCACTTTCCAGACCTCCGTTTGAGCCCTTGGCTGCCGTTCACTATTACGCCTTTCAATTAAAATAGCCTTCCTTGTCGCCATCACATCCATAAGATGTGTACGAGAATATGGGGCCCTCCTGGCATACCCCCATACATGATCTTTTTCAAGAACAAGGTCACTCTAAGAGTGCATCCTAAATTTCTACCTAATGTACCCTCTTCGTTCCACCTCAACCAACCTATTAATCTTCCTGCATTCTTCCCTAAACTTCATAACAACAGGCAAAAAGCAGCACTTCATCCTCTAGGTGTCAGAAGGGCACTAGCCTTTTATCTCAAATGGACTAAACTATTCAGGAAGGCACCAAAACTGTTTCTCTCAACTACGGAGAGATCCAAAGGAGAAGCTATATATAAGCAGAGACTCTCCAAATGGATTTCAGAGTGCATTCATCTCTGCTAACGCCAAGACAAACTTGAACCCCCACTGGGGGGTTAGAACGCATTCTACCAGGTCGCTCTTCCGGTTGGTAGCCTTCCTTAATGCTGTGACTATTAGACATGTAAAGCAGCCACTTGGTCCTCGGCCCACACATTCATTCAGCACTACGCAATCAAGCAAGATTTGACATCTGACACTTTTTATTAGGACTCACGGTCCTATCATCTGTCACAGATCCAACTCTGAAGCCCCTCCTTTCCACTGAGGGGCACTGCTCTACAGTCACCTGAAGTGCAGCACCCACAAGGACATCACTCGAAGCAGAAGAGAAGGTGTAGTAACTGAGGTTCTTCGAGATGTATGTCCCTGTGAGTGCTCCACTACCCACCTTCCTCCCCTCTGCTTTGGAGTTTTTGCAAGGTCCTCTGCAGTTGAGAAAGAACTGAGATGGGGGTTGGCCACACAGCGCTTGTTAACCACTGCTACAGGTGTGAGACAGGGAGAGCGCATGTGCAGCCCAACCGGGTACTGCTGTCAAAGCTCTCTGACTAGAGGCATGGGGCACCCAATCACCTGAAGTGGAGCACCCACAGGGGGATACATCTTGAAGAACCTCAGTTACTGCACAAGGTGAGTGACCCTCTTTTTTGCTCTAAATGCTTTATTCCTTCTGCAAAATAAACCATCCTTTAGGAAAGCCGTTTTGTCACTGTACAACACTGGTCAGAGACTCCCAAAGGGAAGAACTACAGGTTGTCAGAGCTCACTCAGACTTGCTGGGTAAGCATGATTGATACACAGGGTTGATGGTCTAGGGCCCTGTCTAATTAGAGGTAGAAAAGCGGAATTCAGGCCTGGGATAGGAGGAGGTACCACCTGAGGAGGTACACTCAGAGAGACTAGGTAGGGGACAAAGGTGCAGCTAGCATATACCATTATAGATAGATAGATATTCCCCAAAGTGAATAGTGTACCATCCTTTTCTGGAAGGAACAATACGGACAGGTAATCTATGTTCAGAATTTTACATTTCTTTGTACTAAAGACATTTTGCAGAACTTAATTAGCAGAAATGTTTTCATGACTTCCCTCTTTAAAAGTTTTTAAACCTTTCCCCTGAACTGTTTGCAGTCCGGACAGTGGAGCACTGTGCCAGTGCACAACAGCATGAAAATGAAACCGTGGCTCCATTTCGCTCTTTGTCCAAGTTGGGTGAAATGGAGCCACGAGTAAACACGCTTTCAGTTATAGCAGCGTAAGGCACAAGTACAGGAATTGATTACATGGAAAAGTTACCTTTGGGAAACATTGCTTTTGTTTTTGTTTTGTTCCACTGATGGCTCTTGTCCTTTCTGGAGGCTTCTGTTTATACTCTCCTCCTACACAGCAGTGGCGGGGAGGCAGCTGTGTTCATTTTTTCCAGCTCTTTGTACAGCCATCCAGCCGCTTCATTGAAATGAAGAACCTGGGCACCTGTCAAAGTAGCTTGAAGCAAGGAGATCGAGCCAGCTCCATGATGTCTGCCAGCTCTCATGGACAACCAGAAGCTCCTTGTGAATCATCAGCAGTCCATAGGTTGAGAACCACTGACACAAAGAGTTATCAGTAAAACAGCTAAGGCAGTTTGTTGTTTACAAATATGGCTTTAAATCTGCCATTATCCCTTTTAAAAGCAGTGTTAAACTTTAGTCTCTGATTATAACTGTGGATTTTGTGGGCCAGTGAAAGACTGGGCAAATCTCATTGGAGATTATTTAACTTTTGAATTTTTTCCTGACGCGGAATGTGTCTGAAGCAGCCGCGGAATGTTTCTATATGAATTACCCCTCAATCATTTTACCTGTAATATTTTCCTTTAATATTTATAATGATCTGGCTTAACCATAACACAGAAGGACAAATCCTTTTGACTAACCTAGCTCACACTCTTCATTGCAAATCCCAGCTATTGGTTGGAGTGTTAAATTCTGAAGGCTTTTGTCATCTGGCTGATAGCATGCAAAAAATCTGGAAATTGTGCATGAATGAGTATTCTGTATGTTTAAGGTCATGTATCCTTAAAAGTAGGGGTCTCTTTCTTTTCCTCTCTATTTGTAACTTGAATCCAGCATAAGAGCGTGTTTATACAGTTGTTGCATAGTTGTTTTTAGGTTCGTATTGGAATCTTGTGCATGGATGGCAGGGACTGAACTGCGTCCGCTTTGATGTGTCAGATATATTGATGACTGTCCTGTTTACAGCTGTTGTGTCTTCTCTTGTAAATTCCATCACACAGCTGCCAAGAACTGTGGTGAACTGACCATCCGCTTAATTTAAGTTAAATGACCTTGTTACCTATTGCTTCTCAGTTACCATGCACATTGCAATAAATCATGGGTATATAAGTACCTTTCATGCTACTTCTATATTATTTTTTCTCTTCTCAGTTGTGAACATACTTAAAGTAAGACTAAATCATTGTCCTGTTTTGTATAAACATTAATATAAGCACTGTGGGGTTTGTGAGAAGTATTTTTTACTTTGAAAAATAAGGATTGGTACTTGTTTTGTGCTGTATGGAGGTAAGAAATTCAGGGTTCTAGTTAGTAATCTGAATTATAACTAGTGTTTTTTTAGTATCTTGGCCAAATTATCGTTGTTGAGTTTTAGAAGGCCTGATTTTGTAGGACTCGATCTTGGCTTTTAAAAAAAAAAATTATTCCTATTGTGTATCTAGCAGCAATGTGTCTACTTTATTTTAAGTAACCTAAGTGGTTTAGAATGAACAGGAAGTGCTTCGTGAAAGGGTGTGGCTCAGAAATATGGCTAACTGCATTATCACACACTATCTCCTATAAAGTTAGAGACTGTGATTCCTCATAAAGGATGAGGCTGGCTCCTGGAATCCTGGCAGACAAGCAGCTGTGTTGGTCTTATACATATATGGGGCAGCTGTAGAACCAGCTGTCGTTTGGTGTGAATCATACAGCAAGAGATGCTGTAAATAGACCTGTGCGGGGTAATGTAATACCTGACAGCCTTTGGATTTTTACTGCAGGACTTTTTTTCTGATTCAGATCATTTTTAAGGCAGAGTACTAAATAATTAGTGAATATATAGAGAGAACACAAACAATTTTTTACAAAGAAAATCTTGATCTTTCTCTTTATCCACAGGATCTTAATAATTAATTCATAAAGTGCCAGATTCTGCTCCCATGGAAGTTAGTGGCAAAACTACTTCTGGCTTCAGTTGGCTCTTTGGTCCTGAGTCCTACTGAAGACTTATTTCTGAGCATAAATGGTTCTGAAGTGCAGTTCTGTAAATTGGGTAGGCACTGACACTGCAAGGCACTAAAGAATGAACAAACAGTGCTTTTACCTCCTACCAGTAGTAAAGCAGTAAAGCAGTAAAGTGCAGAACTGTAAGGAGAGTAAAGCTATCAAATATCATGTAACCCAACCTAAACCTGAGGATACAATTAAGTAAGAGAAAATTGTAATAGTAGATTTTCTCCACTGTGAGAGAGAAACAATTTTTTTTCTGAACATCTGTGTGTATAATAAGGAGATTGCAAATTGAAAAGATTTAGGGCCAGATTTTCAAAAGCACTTGGCTCCCATTTAGGGCAACATAAAGGCCAGAAGTGCAAAAGAGAACTGAGCTATTTTGAACCTTGGGCCCTTACAGTTTAATTCAGCTCAGCAATTCTTCTAAAACTTGCAAGCTGTCTTTCCTGGGTTGCTGCATAGCTTTTCTGGTGAGGATAAAGAAAACGTACAAGTTGACATGGAAAGGGAACAGATATAGATATGATTGTAGCTTTGAAGCAATAGGTTAATCAATCCTCTCTTGCCCCCCAAATGGCATCCTGTTTTTAAAATGAGGCCCCATTTGGAATGGTTTCTAATGAATAAGTTAGGATTTAACAGCTGGCTGTGTAATCTGAGAACAGACTTGGGTTCTCAGCCTCTAGGCATTAGGTTATGCATATCATGGAAGTAATGTGGGGGGGGGAAGGGGGGTAGAGCCATCTCTCTCTAGCCTTTTTTCCCTCTTGCTTGCCTAGAGCGTTCCCTGTGGATAAATCATTGGTGTGCATTAGTGTCAGTTGTGTGCAACGGGATCTGCTCTCTCAGCTGCAGCAAGTATGCTGTGCCTGCAGAGTTGTGAAATGCATGAAAACGAATATAATAGTATAAGTCCCTGTCACTTGAATTCCTTGCATAGTCACAGCACAGGAATACCTACTAAAGCTGTTCTCTGTGTTTCTGCAGGTGCTGGAAGATAATGACTATGGTCGTGCAGTAGACTGGTGGGGCTTAGGAGTCGTAATGTATGAAATGATGTGTGGCCGGCTCCCTTTCTACAATCAGGACCATGAGAAGCTCTTTGAACTTATCCTCATGGAGGAGATTAGGTTTCCACGCACTTTGTCACCTGAAGCAAAATCTCTTCTGTCAGGTTTGCTGAAGAAGGATCCTAAGCAAAGGTGAGACCGTTTTTTAAAAATCAAACATTTTAATTTCTTCGGTTTTCTGAATGATAGCTATGGTCGCATTTCTTGTTTGGATCCACCACATCAAAACAAACACAGGGGCACAATCAGCTGAGGTACTAAATGAAAAAGAACACATATGCCTGTCCAGTGGATTTCAGAAAATGAGTTAAAAATAGTTTCTCACCAATGTTGCTGTTGGAAAAACCCACACAATCAGAGCAAATTGTGCGTTCAACCACACTTTGTAAATGGTCGCTTTCACTAAGGGCTAGTCTACACTGGCAACGTTAAAGCAGTGCCGCGGCAGCACTGGGAGAGAGCTCTCCTAGCACCATAAAAAACCCACCTCCACGAGGGGCGTAGCTCCCAGCGTTGGGGCACTGTGTACACTGGTGCTTTACAGCGCTGAAACTTGCTGCACTCGGGGGGGGGGTGTTTTTTCACACCCCGAGCGAGAAAGTTGCAGCGCTGTAAAGTGCCAGTGTAGACAAACCCTAAGTAAACACACGAAAAGGGAAAAGGGGTTTTTCCCCTCTAATTTCTTTCAGGGCTTCAGATAAGTGTGATGATTTTTTTTTTCCTTTTTTGATGACAACATCCCGTTAAATACTGCAGATTTATCAGGAACTAAGGGTAGTTGGAAGATCCAACAAACCGGTGTCTTCTTTCTTGTTTTAAATGTTGGTACAGACTGGATACTCCAGATGGCAACAGGAAGCAAATGCAGTAATAGAGAGGCAGAACTGCAAAATACCCTGGCTGCCATTGTATTGTACAGAAGGCTATAACCCAAACAAACCACATAACCCATTCTAGATCACAGTGAACATGACTTTTGCATGCTCTGCAGTGACTGCTTTCACATCTACAATTCTGTTTTCTGTTTCTTAGTTCCATGTTGAATCAGTGGGCTGTTAGCAGTGCTGCTCCGCAACTTAGTGGGTAGATGGTGTTATCTGTGCCGTGAAGTTAGCCCTCTTTCTCTGCTCCCTTCTTGTTGTTTTTTTATTGATAACCATAAGTGAAAGACTTCATACACAACAACCAGTACAGTATCACAGGATTACAAAGGACATTTGACCTTCCCACAGTGACCTGGCACTGCTTACAACCATTTGCACCACTGCCAACCCCACACATACAAAAATAACATGTCTGTCCCCAAAAAACTGAGATTGACCCTGAAATTGAGACTTTTAAAAAAATGTAAGGCCTGTTTTTTTGGTCTGTCCTTTGATTTTTTTTTTTTTTTTTTGAACTTCCCATGCCCAGACTCCTGTGTGCGTGTGACATTAGTCTTCCCAACTCTTACAAATGTATAGCAAGATGACTGGCCCCCACTGCAGGAGTTTTAGCTGGAGGACCCCACTTAGGTTGGGGCCCCATAGTGGTAGGTACAAATACTTAGTAAGAACCAGGCCCTGCCCACAAGGGATCAATCTAGTTCAAAGCTTAATGGTGATATTAGGAACTGGAACTGGGACTTGCCATACTCATATAGGGGCTACCAAACATCCATCAGATGGGAACAATTTTTAATCCTTTCTGAGCTGGCTAGGATCCAAACCGGTAACCTACAAATGAAGAGGTTCTATAGTTTATTAGGAATACTCTGAGGAATCCAATCGCTATTAAGTATTAACATTGCACTGTGAGAATGAGGCTGCTTTCCAGAAAAGTATGCATCTTAGATCAAGTTATCACCTTTCTGTAGCTTATGCAAACAGCCTCTTCCAATCTCTGGAAACACAGGCAAAATCTCCTTCAAGCTTCTCTCAGTCTGCCATACCCCCTTAACAGAGCAGCTCCTATTAACCAAAATACAAACAATAAAATAAATATTAACACAGCATTCGAATTCACTTCTAGATGCAATGTTTTGCAATATGAAATAGTTCCAACTATTACTCCAAGGTTCTTATGCTAACTTTGCCGTTGTATATGTTTTCACTTCCACACGAATCATCCTCAGCAGGGTTTGAATGTACAACCTTCTGATCTATAGAATAGTGATTCTCAAACTTTTTATTTTTTTTTGCATATACCTCTACCCCGATATAATGCAGTCTGATACAACGTGAATTCGGATATAATGCAGTAAAGCAGTGCTCCGGGGAGCAGGGCTGCTTTACCTCGTTATATCCGAATTTGTGTTACCGCAAGCGGTTCCTCTGCCCCCCTCCCCCCCCCCCGGGCACTTGCTGCAGCCCCCCGCCTCAGCTCACCTCCACTCTGCCTCCTCCCCTGAGCACGCCGCTCCGCTGCTTCCCGCGCCAAACAGTTGATTGGAGCAGCAAGCCTGGCAGGGAGGGAGGGGAGGAGAAGCAGAGCGGCAGCGGTGCGCTCAGGGGAGGAGGTGGAGGCAGAGTGGAGGTGAGCTGGGCAGGGGGCAGTTCCTCTCCCTACCCTGATATAACGCGGTCTCACCTATAAGACGGTAAGATTTTTTGGTTCCCGAAGGCCGCGTTATATCGGGGTAGAGGTGTACCACTTTAAAATTGCTGAGGATCTCGGCGGACCACTTAATGAACTTTCCAAATGTTATTTGCACCATTAGCTAACTATTGCAAAGAGCTTTGGATAAAAGCGCTATATAAAAAAACCTTAATAATATTTAACGTTTTTTTGCTCTACATATAAAAGCACACAACTCTTATTTTAATATCAGTAGTCTTACGTTCTAATGCGATGGATGTGCCCTCTCTTCCGTGCTGCAGCAGCCCCTGAGCTGGGGCTGGGAAGGTGGGGCGGTTTCTCCCCGGCCACAGCAGCCACAGAGCTGGGGCTGGGAAGGAGGGGCGTATCTCCCCAGCAGCCCCAGCCCTGGAGCTGGGGAAAGTAGCCTCTTTCTATGGCCGTTGAGCCCTGCACGCCCCAAATTTTCCCCACCCCCTCTTCTCACCCCACTTACCCCCATTCCACCCAAGGCCACCACCTCACCTTACATGTGTGTCTTCTCCAGGTTCCAGGCACCTAATAAGTGGAGCCACACCTGCATGGCTCCACTGATTAGGTGGGTGGCCCTTCATTCTCTGTGTGCTGCTGCCCAGGTGTGCCTTAAAAGGAGCTATGATCTGCGGACCACAGTTTGAGAACCTCTGCCATAGAACATAGATATCTTCAGTGTCCGCTATAGGTATAAGCAGGGAGGCAGAAAGTATGCTGTTATTCTCTGTGGACTAGCCTGTACCAGGAGGCATGACATGCACACTGCTAGTTACTTTACACAAGTATACATGACATAAATATTTGAGAGACAGCTGTGGAAAAATGACCACCAGAAATCTTAGTTTCTCTGCCCAGCTCTAGGATCAGACTGTGGCCTAATGGTTACAGACAGAATAGGCAGATGTAACAATGACTCTGTTCGGGTCATCTGCAGGGAACTGAACCTGGGACCTGTGGATGAAGTATGGCCCTATATTACTTGAGCAAAGGAGCCATGTCTCTTAGTATCAAAGCAGTATCCTGTCGTACATTCCTATATGTGGTCCAGCTCCTAGAGGGTGACACAGGATCATGCTATATTGGTGTGGGTTACAGAAGCATGTATTTGCCGTGTTCCTCCTGAAAGACTTGTGTGGAAAAGTGGCTGAGATTTGGGCCTCTGAGACCTGGTGTCACAGTCCTGGTCAAGCAGCCCTTTTCTGAACACTCACCAGGCTGCTGTGTTTGGACTCACACATTGGGCCTTTGTACTTTCAAGCTTCTTTGAGTCACGGTAGGCTTCAGACATTATGTCTGGCTCTGGCCTCTGGAATGCTTGCTGGTCCCAGACTCTGTCAAGTATCCTTTTTTAAAAGTGGGACCCCACGGCCCAGCTGCCCTAAACGAGGCCCCAGGACGAGTGCTGAACCCTCCAGGTCTCCCAGTGGCTTAAGCAAAGCCTTACTCCTCTTATGTGCACGCTGGTTTATAGTTTAACCCTTCAGGGACATGTGACAGTGAAGCCAGTAGACACAGACTTTGCAGAAGGATATTTAAAACAAATCAATTTACTTTAGACTGCACAAGAGATGTGCAGATCCCTGCAAAATAATAAATACCAGTATGCTATTTCTTGCTTCATTTTCTTCACCACCCTTGAGCGTTCTTTGGAATGTGGTCAGAGTCTTCAAAGGAGTCCAGGATCCTTCCTCTCCCTTTTTCCTCCAGAACATAGTCTTCTTTCAGACCCCTGAAGCGGTGGCCAGTACGTCCCTCGGCCCGCGCCGCTTCCAGCAGCTCCCATTGGCCTGGAGCAGCGAACAGCGGCCACTGGGAGCTGCGATCAGCCGAACTTGTGGACGCGGCAGGTAAACAAACCAGCCCAGCCCACCAGGGGCTTTCCCTGCACAAGTGGCAGAACAAGTTTGGGAACCACTGCTCTAGATGATAGCTAGTAGTACCTTAAGTTTAGTTTAGAGTTAGAGTAGTTGGCTGCCCTGTGTGATGCCCTAACCAAGGCTCAAGCATTGGCCGTCGTGTGTGTGGGCCATCCCTAATAGTGTCCCCTACCCAAGGTGCTTGTGTCTCGGTACATTAAGGAACAGTGCTCCATCTGTAAAGTCATTCAAGGGTACTTCTTGTGATCTGCCTACAGGGAACATAGCTGTGTCTCCTCAAAGAAGAAAAATGGTTCCTTTCCTACATTGACAGGTTTCAGAGTAACAACCGTGTTTGTCTGTATTTGCAAAAAGAAAAGGAAAATTATGGCACCTCAGAGACTAACCAATTTATTTGAGCATAAGCTTTCGTGAGTTACAGCTCACTTCATCGGATGCATCCGATGAAGTGAGCTGTGGCTCACAAAAGCTTATGCTCAAATAAATTGGTTAGTCTCTGAGGTGCCACAAGTACTCCTTTTCTTTTTCCTACATTGTAACTGTTCTTTGAGATGAGTTGCAGGTGTGTATTCCACAACCACTCTCTGTCGCCTCTACATCAGACTTTATACTCTTGACATCTGAGGGAGTCTGGTCGATGCTACCCTTATATAACCAGGGGAGAATCTAGCCTGGGTGGGTGTACACCTATGTATGCATGTCTGCACCTCCTCTCTAAGAACAACAGTAACAATACAAGTAAATACTTGTTTTTTTCATAGATTCAAAGACCAGAAGGGATGGTCTAGTCTGATCTCCTGCATAACACAGGCCATAGAACTTCTCCAAAATAATTCCCAGAGCAGATCTTTTAGAAAAAATCCAATCTTGAAAAAATGTCCAGTGATGGAGAATCCGCCATGACCTTTGTTCCAATGGTTAATTACTCTCAACGTTAAACAAATTATGCCATATTTCCAGTCTGAATTTGTCTAGCTTCAATTTTGAGCCATTGGATCATGTTGTTTATTTTTCTCTCTTAGACTGACTAGCTCATTAGTAAATATTTGTTCCCCTTGTGGGTACTTTTTGGCAGTGCTAGCCCATTGGGGGGCCCTAAGCAGGAATATTTTTGTCTCCCCCATTCTAAAATGAGCAAGAGCAAGTTCTTATAATAAAAACTGAATAAGTGACCCTCTTGAGCTGCTGGCGGCCCTAAGCAATTGCTTAGTTTGTTTATGAGGCTCTGACTTAGACTGTAATCAAGTCACCCATTAACCTTCTCTTTGTTAAGCTAAATAGACTGAGTACCTTGAGTCTTTCACTATAAGGCATGTTTTCTAATCCATTAATCAGTTTCTAATCCATTAATCATGACTCTTCTCCAAACCCTCTCCAATTTATCAATATCCTTCTCGAATTGTGGACACCAGAACTGGACACAATAGTCCAGCAGCAGTCACACCAGTTCCTCTTTACTCCCACTCAAGATTCTTTTTTTATGTATCTGTAACAAAGTGGCTCACCCCTTAATGCCTGGAGGGCCTGGGGCTAGCCAACCCTGATTACTAAAGGAGGTACACCTGTGTGAGAGCAGCAGCTGGCTGCAGTAAGCTGGGAGATGCTCAGGAAGCAGAAGCCTGAGAAGCTGTAGCTGGCTTGAGGAAACAACAGCTGCAGGGAACACGATTTGCGCTTGCAGAGACTGAACTATGCCCAGCTCTGGGGAAAAGGGCTGGGAACCCTGCAGCTAGGGGGAGAGACACTGAACTGGTGCTGGGGCTGGGAGGACCAGTGTATACCTGAGAACTGAATAAAGTGGACCCCAGGTGGGGAATGTTTTAATTTCCTTTGGACTATCTTGAGTTTGGTTAAGGGGCCCTAAAGAGGGGGACAACAGATGCAGGGAGCTGGAGGGCAACCTCTGGCGATAACGGGGAGATCGGGTGGTGGCCAGTCCTGTTACAGCATTCAAGGATTGCGTTAGCTTTTGTTGGCCACATAATTGCATTGGGAGCTCATGTTCAGCTGATTATCCATCATGACCCCCAAATCTTTTTCAGAGTCACTGCTTCCCAGTATAGAGTCCCCCATCCTGTAAGTATGGCCTACAGTCTTTGTTTCTCGGTGTATACATTTACATTTAGCGGATTAAAGACACACATTGTTTGCTTGTGCCCAGTTTACCAAGTGATCCAGATTGCTCTATATCAGTGACCTGTCCTCTTCATTATTTACCACTCTCCCAATTTTTGTGTCATCTACAAACTTTATCAGTGATGATTTTATGTTTATTCCAGGTCACTGATGAAAATGTTAAATAGCATAGGGCCAAGAACCAGTTCCTGGGGGACCACCTGCGCAGTTGGTCACAGTCCTCTTTCGAATAGCCCTTCAGCATTTTTGAAGACTGCGATCAGGTTCCTCCCTCAGCCTTCTTTTTTCAGGACTTAACATTCCCAGGTTTTTAAACCTTTTCTCATTTGTGTTGCTCTCCTCTGGACTGTCTCCAGTTTGTCAACATCTTTTCTAAAGTGTGATGCCTAGAACTGGACACACTGCTCCAGCTAAGGCCCCACCAAGTAGAGCAGAACAATTACCTCCTGTGTCTTTGGCATGACACTTCTGTTAATACTCCCCAGACTATTCGCCTTTTTTGCAGCTGCATCACAGTTGCATATTCAATTTGTGATCCATTATAACCCCTAGATCGTTTTCTGCAGTACTGCCACCTAGCTAGTTATTCCCCATTTTGTATTTGTGCATTTGATTTTTCTTCCTTCCTAAGTTTAGGAATTTGCACCTGTCTTTATTGAATTTCATCTTGTTGATTTCAGACCAATTCTCCAATTTGTTATGGTCGTT